GCACTTTCGGTTCGGATCTTCTTGAGCTAACATTACGACTGCCATTGCGTCGGTTCGTGAACCTCCCGACTAGATATATGAGCAACCAAATTCCCTCTACCTTGGATCTCATTTTTGCGAAGTCAAACGATTTCGTAAGTGATATTATCTGTGACTGTTCTCTATGAGCCAGTGACCATGTCTGCATATCCATTCGATATGCTGTAACTAACTGTCATCAGGCTACCGCTGAGGCATGTCCAAATATATGGCAGGCAGACTTTAACGCAAGGTGAGACAAAGCTTCCGCTTTGCGTTGTGCAATCACCATGGCTGACACCGTTGATACAGCCTGGGAGAAATTTAAGGCATACCTCACCGCGATCTCCGCTCCCACATCCCACTTACTAAGAGAAAGGTGACACGAGCGCAGCCTCCATGGATAGACCATACAGGTAAATACCTGCTCAGGAAGCGCTCTAAGTGCTGGCGAACTTAACAAACGGCTTCATCAACCAGCACCTACGAAAGCTATCGAGGGGTTAGAAATAAATGTAAGCATCATCTTAGAACTCTTCGTCTTCAGTACGAGGAGGATCTGGCTAACGCAGCCGTAACAAATCCAAAGTTTGTTGCTTAGGTAAAGAGACGTAGCGGTGCAAACTCGTCTATACAGGCTTTATTACCAGCGGACGGGACCCATGGGCATACCGACTATGATAATGCTTGTATACTTAGCGAACAATATAATGGTGTCTTTTCTCATGGGGCCTCTCTACTTCAAGTAGAGCTGATCACACAAGTTCCGGAGGATTCTTGCCTAACTGGAATAAGCATAACGGAGACACAAGTCTTCGGGCTATTGCAAGGGCCCTGATTCAATTCATCTGAAGCTGATGCATGAATTGGCCGCTGAGCTAAGTGGCCCTCTGACATGCATGTTTACAATATAACACGACAGCTGTGCCTTAACTTCGGGACGGAAAAAGGCAATCATCTGTCCGATTTTTAAGGGCGTGGACAGAGTTCTGCGCGCGAACTACCGGCCTGTCAGCTTAACAGGTGTAGTAGTTAAGTTGGTTGAAAATTTGGTCAGGGATTCGGTGGAGAACCACCTGATTAAGTTTAACCTTCTCAGTGCGGCCCAGCACGGATTCCGTAAGGGATGTTTATGTCTGACAAATTTACTTGTTCCTCGTGAAAGCGCGCTGAGGCAGTAGACAACGGTCACGCCATCGACTGCTTTTCGTTGACGTCTCGAAAGCCCTTGATACTGTCCCACATCAACGACTGTCATTAAAGTTCCGATCGTATGGGATATCTGGAGCCGCCCTTAAATGGATTTCTGCTTTCCTGGAGCGCAGAGAACAGTGTGTACGCGTGGGGCGTAGTCTTTCGCTTAGACAAGCTGTTCTTAGTGGCGTTCCGCAGGGATCGGTTCTAGGGCCATGGCTTTTCGCAATTTATGTCAATGACCTACCCCAGGAGCTTGGAGTATCGTCGCTATTGTTTGCTGATGACCTCAAGCTCTGGATATCCCTGGTGGCTCTGAGGCACTTCAGAGTGCCTTGGATAGGCTCTGGGATTGGTCAACCTTATGGTTGATGCCCATAAATCAGGCGAAATGTTCTGTCCTCCTCATTGGAGGTGCTAGTCCCCCCACGCGCGACGTAGTTGGTGGAAGTAAACGCCCTGTTGTCATTGAGCAGGTTTATCTAGGTATTACCCGGACCTCATTGCTTCACTCTGGAGACATTTGGAGGAAGGCTGCTTGTTGAGGGTTCCGTATGATGTGGTTTACTCGTTGCTCCTTCGGTGTCCTAACGGCCAATATTGTCGTGAAGCTGTTCTCAGCTTTTGTGCGACCTCACTTAGAGTACTGTATCCAGGCTTGTCCACCTTGTCTTGTAAGGGACAAAATGGAACTGGCGAGTTTTGCGAGTGGATACAAGGTTAGTGCAAGGATTACGGGGGCAAACGTAGCCCGAACGTTTGCTTAGCTTGGGTATATACTCAATGCACTACCGCAGAATTGGAAGAGACTTGATCCTCACTTACCGTATCTTAACGGGTAAGGTCGGTCCAGACTTGTCCTGGCTATTTAGTCCCGCCAAGCTGACTAGTCTCCGAGGTCACCCGTTGAAGCTGCACAAACAGCGTTCTGACCGGGTAAGGAAGGAAACTCGCTTGTCGCGTCGAGTTATTGAACGTTGGAACTCGCTTCCGGTGCACGTGGTTAGGGAGTCTACGGTAGAGGGTTTCGAGCGTCAGTTAGACGCTCTTTGGTGGCAGTACCAAACCTTCCCCTCTCTCCTAACCGACTTGTGTCTTCAACTTTCCGTTCCTTCTTTTTTAATTTTCTTCTTACCTTGGTATTATCATTATTTAGCTGACATTCCTCCTCTTGTTTTCTTAGCTTACTCTTCACGCTTTTACTTCACATAAACCGGCCTAGGGACTGCTGGGTAGGAAAATGTGGGCAGTAATTGGTTGGACAGGATGTGATGCGGTCTTTGTTTTAGGCTCTTAAACTGCTCATCAGAGCTGTCAAATCCCTATCCGACGACACGCAAAAGTAGGAACGTTCACTTGATTATCCTATCGTTCCGGTCCCAACTGAACTTGAACTTGAACTGGAACTTGAATAAAGACCAGCCATAGAATACAAAAACTTCCAAATACCTTCGCGGATACCTGAAGCGAAATGCTAAAACGGATAGTGGAAGCCGCCCTATCTTCTTCTAAGGAAGGCACGGTTCTACACGGCGAGGTTGGAATAGCAAAACTACTGGCTGCGCACTATTCGTTGGTCTACTCAATGGAATCAACGCTGCTTAACAACTGCTTTCCTGCACCTTACTCCTCTATGGACCAAGCCGAACTTAAGCACCAGGCAGTCACTATGGACCCGAAATCCTCCCCAGGCCCTTCCGGATTTTATCTCAGCTTTCTCAAAACCATAACTGAGTACGTCGCCGCCAACTCTTCCGAGGCTTTCGGCAATCCCTCGAAGTAGGATGCTTACCCACAGGCTGGAAAGCAGGTACCGTCCAGCCCAAATACCAGGGGAAAACCAACAAGGTCTAGCGAACTACTGACCAATATGACTGACATCAGTCGCATGCAAAGCCATAGAACGAAGAGTCAACTGCGCCCTCTAGCTACACTGGATGAAACTAAACACCATCTCACCCGTCACCAGGGCTTCCGGTGAGGAGGCTCATGCATCTCATCGCCAGGGAAACATGGGCAGAAGCTATGGATATCCGAAAACGGGTTGCGGTAACATTTCATGGCTTTAGTAAAGCCTTTGTTGAGGCTGCCTATGCACGACTGCTACATAAACTCCAGGGAATTTGCCTTACAAAACATATTCTCCCCTGGAGTGCCGATTTTGCGATAGGTTTACCATCCATGTACGAGTGAATCAAACCCGCCCTGCTCCTTGCTTATGACTAGCGGCCTTCCCCGAGGAGCAGTGCATGGGCCAGAGCTCATCAAACTGCACATTAACCATCTGCCGACTACACCTCAAACCGGCTGCTTGAGCTACGCTGTGGACCATAAGCTATGGTTAATCGCTTCCAGTCTTGAGGAAGCAGACAGATTACAGGTGCTCTAGCCCAACTACACTAATCGTTCGTCAGGAGGGACGTACTAGTAAGCCGAGATAAATGCGCTGTTCTCCTCATGTGTAGCACTGCACTGTATGCTGTATACCACCCAGGTGTGATGCTCCTTAAAAATATCACTCACGAGAGAGATCTCAGGGTTATCGTAACTTCTGCAATTAGCACGATCTAGGACACGTAAAAGGTGGCCACTGGAAAGAGACTGGTAAGTGCCTTAAGAATAGCATCGCTCTAATGTCGCCTGAGGGTTTTCGACATTTGTTTTCTTCGTAGGTCCGCCCATATTAGAATAGTTCCTACCAGCCATCCATCCGCTTTCGAAGCCTGAATGCGCTCTGCTGGAAAAGGTCCAGAGATGTGCATCAAAACTGTTCTGGGGATTCGTAATCTCCCGTACCCTATCCGACTACAACAGCTAAATATGTGCTTCCTGGAGCTACGCCGTCGCCGGAGTGAGCTCACCTACACTACCGCATACTCCGAGGGGAACTTGCGAGTGCGTTAAAAAAGACTTCGACCCAACGTTGATAGTCCCACACGAGGTCACACATGGAAGTTATTTAGGCAAGGCAGGCACAGAATTACGATGGACGTTGCCTTATCCGCTAGCGTGGTAAATGTTTGGAACCGCAAACCGGAAGAAGTGCAGACGCGCCATCCGTGGCTGCTAGGCAAACATTCGCTGAGAAAGCTGGAAACTTGCAGCGGTCACTGCGATTGTGACGAACCCTTCAAGAACATCGTAACGCAATCACACGCATCAATTCCAGTATGTTACTGAATCAATGTGGCTAAAATGGGATTTCCCTCATGCTCTCTACAATCAAATGAAGTTAATAAAAGTAGGTTATTTCCTTGCGCGGAAATTAGGTACACATGCAGAATACTAGTTAAACACTACCTAGTTAAAAGTCAGGTATTTCCTGGTTAAGTAAAAATCATTTGTTTGTTATATCGGCTCAAGTTTGACTTTGAATTTACGCTCGTATTTCGAGGTAAAAAGGCTGCATATGTATAGCAAAAGCGCGGAATTTGTAGTGCTTACTGCGCTTATATTTGAAGGCAATTGTACACGATACATGTTTTCAATATTTTTTGTTGTCGGCGATTATGTAAAAGCTTTATTCCAATTTTTAGAATCTCAGTTTTTAGTTACATTAACTTCAATGCAGTAGAGGAATTAATAGACGTAACTGACATTCAACAAAGCATTATTTCTACTATAGCTGCACAATGATAATCACTATTAAAGCTAATGATGTAGATCCGGGGCTCTACACTTTTGCATGCCTTTAACGCCGACCCTACACAGGATCAGCTGCCCGTTTGATTCCTCGCCTGTCCACTCCTCGGTTCTGTCTTTGTCACAGGCACGCTCCCTCTTGCACGATGGGTCGTATGCACAGCAAAGGAAAGGGTATTTCCCAAAGTGCTTTGCCTTACAGGCGATCGGTGCCGTCATGGCAGAAGATGACAGCTGATGAGGTCAAAGAGCAAATTTATAAACTTGCTCGAAAGGGAATGTCTCCTTCTCATATCGGTAATATTGCCCCATCCTGCTAAATCACATTTAGGTGTTTTCCTCAGAGATAGCTTTGGAGTCGCTCAAGTTAGATGGCTAGCTGGTAACAAAATATTGCGTATTCTGAAAGCGAAGGGGTTGGCTCCATCCATTCCAGAGGATCTTTATCAACTCGTGAAGAAAGCTGTTTCGATCCGGAAACATCTCGGCCGCAATCGCAAAGACAAAGACAACAAGTTTCGATTGATTTTAGTCGAAAGCCGAATTCACCGACTTGCCAGATACTACAAAACCTGTCGCATGCTCCCACCAAACTGGAAGTATGACAGTTCCACTGCGTCCACACTCATTGCATAAGTAATAGAAATTGTGCTTTCAGGTACATTGTAGTTTTCATTGATTTTTCGGCATTCCTACATGCTCTAAGATGGGATGCGATGAGTATTACATTGCTCGGTTACCATTCTCCTCGTCTTGAACCGGTTGCGGATGTTCCGTTTTAGGTTCATCAAGAACGGCCCTTAATTTCTGGCCTGACGATCCCTTCAAGATAAAACGCTCACGAGATTTTCCTATAGTCCCAGTCCCACCTGAACTTGAACTTAGTCGCCTTGCCAAGTTGCATTGTGGCGTCAGCTCGTCTGTGCCCCCTGTCTTTATCATTTGTTCGCAGTGCCTTCAGACCTATAAGTTCTGCTCTCGTTGTTTCATTAGGTGATAGAGAACATGAGATACTTTGTCAGCTCCATCACTACAATTTCGTTTGTTAGCGGAACAATAGGGTAATCCCCTGAATGTTCCTATTTTCGCATATCGTTAAGTACAAGTGGGACCGGAACAGTAGGAAAATCCCGCGAATGTTCCACTTGGGAACGTCGTTGATCCAACAGGGAAACCGGTGCCTTGGTGTGCCAAAGGAGAGCCAAATCAACACACGATCCACATGCTCAACCAAACAATGCCCACGTGCCCTGCACTAGCAGTCCCCGCTGTGCCGGCCACTTGAAGAATAAAAGAAAACAGTGTCAGTAAAGGAAAGGAAACAGAATAAGGCTGATCGAATTTCGTAGGCAATATTAAGATGTAAGTTAGTATGAGAAAGAAGCGTAGGCCGTAGTAGACGAAGAAAAGTTTAAGACATGAAGAGGAAGACTGCAGACCGAGAGCGTCAAGTCCATGCTCCAACTCTCTCACCGTCGGTGCCATCACGACGTCTACAGGCAGTGCGTTCCAATAAGCTATGACTACGCGATAACCGAAACGCTGCCCAAACCCGGTTAGACCGGGTTTATGCAACTTTAATGAGTGGCAACGAAGGGTTGGCACTCGAGTTGGGCGAAACAGTCCATTCAAATCAGGGCCAATCTGACCCATCAATATACGATATGTGATGACCAAGTCGACCCGAAGCCGCCTGTAATACATGGAAAACACATACTACTTACGTAGCATCTTTGTGTACTTCAGCTTCTTTAATCCGTGCACCATTTTCGTCCCGACCGCAGGACTCGTTCAACTGCCATCTTATCACGAACCAGGCATGGAGGACAAGCCTGAACGCAGTATTCCAAGTGCGGCCTTACAGAAGCCGAACGAACATGTCGTTAGTTATGTTCCCGAATGACCTGCGGATCATCCACAACATGTTGAAACCTTTGCAGGCAGCTGTTGTCCACAGTCCACTGGACTTAAAGTCGATGACAGCAAAACACCGAGGTCAGATTGGAGTTGGACTCGCGGTACCTCGTTGCCGCCAAGCAGATAACGCGTCGGCGGGTCATTCGGACCAACGCGTATAACGGAACATCTCGCTAAATTAACGGACAGCTGCCACAAAATTGACCAGCCCCAATGTCTAGCAAGAGCCCCCTGTAGGGTCAGTGGACCAATCGGATCGTCTATCGTGAACCAGAGTTTCAAATCATCCGCAAACATTAGGGATGGCACACCCAATTCATCAGGTAGGTCATTAACGTATAAAGTGAAGAGAAGGGGGTCAAGAACCGAGCCTTGCGGAACGCCACTGAGAACACATTGGTGGAAGGACAGGCTTGAACTCACCCACACACATTTCCCTTCCGATTAGGAAAGCTGAAATCCATCGTAAGCCTGATCCAGGAATTCAGCTTGTACAAAAGACGCGAATGTGGAACGGTGTCAACAGCTTTGGAAAAGTCAATGAACATCACGTCCACTGCCTTCCCGCAATCAACGGCTTCGGCCCAGTGTTCACGAGCCGTTAACAAGTTAGTAAGGCAAGAATACCCCTTACGAAAGCCGTACTGAGAAGGATTAAGCAACCCGAGCGCTTTCAAGTGTCCTTCGAGAGCGTCCCTCACGAGCTTTTCCATTAACTTGACCAACACGATCGTTAAACTGACCGGGGAGGTGCTTATCACGTTTCTTAAAAATGGGACAAACAATAGCCTCCTTCCAGTCCGTGGGTAGAGAACAGCCTCTTAGAGACTTCACAACAGTTGCGTAATCGGACGGCAAAGTTCATCAGCCAACTCGTACCAAAGTTTGGTATGAATAGCATCCCCACTGACAGCTTTATTGGGATTTAATTGCCTCGGAAGCCGGAGCACTTGAGCCTCCGTTATAGAAACCTCCTCCAAGTGGGAGCGCTGGATTTGATGGGTTTGAGATGTTGAAAAGACTAAAACAGATCGCATCACACTTTGTACAGCCAATTACTGTCCATATTTTCTACCCAGCAATCCCTTCTGTGAAGTACGAAAGAGTGAAGGATAAGCTAAACAACAAAAAAGGCATGTCACTTAAATAATGCTAATACCAAGGTATGAGAAGAACAAGGAAAAAGCTAACAGATAGCTGAAGATACAAGTCGGTTAGTTAATACTGCCCCGAGGCCATACGCGTAATCGAGCACGGATATCAGAAGGAAGTTGAGGTCGGACTCTGGACTATATTCGATGGGCTACAAAAAAGGTGAACAGATGAAGCGAGACAGTAGTCGAGTGCCGAGCTGGGTGTAAGGAAGATTACAACGAAAGTGTAATGTACACTTGGTCAGCAATGAAATTGTACCTAGGATAGTAATTATCTTTTAGGCGCTACAGAGTCCCCCCTAGAATGCCGAACAAAGGAAGCATTCGGAGTCAAAAATGACTGGGTAATCGGACATTGTTGGGCAAAATCGTGCCGTGTAAAAATGAGCGAGCGTTCGTGTCAAAGGGGAGTTTGTCGGACATCCGAGTCTACTGCCGTTTGTTATTTATTATTTATTGATTGCAGAGCAGGGTGCATTTCGGCGGGCTGTTATTTCGGGATTGTCAGACTTCAAAATCTGGCTAGCACAGTTAAAGGCCGACAGTACTTCAACCTCCGCTTGGGAGAGGCCACTTGCTATGACTACTCGCGTTCGCGTCCGGCTACTTGTTGACTGCGACGATCTTCCAAAACATTGCTCGTGAGAGCCAGTTAATCATAGTGGAGGCTTAGGGCATGTATAGACGAGGAAGCAGAAAAACACGCCAAAAAGAACGAACAAATTATCTGCGCGCATGTGTAAATTTTTTGTTTTTTTTTGCAAGTTTTGCTTTTTGGTCTTCCTAACGTTAATCAATTAGAACGGGGTAAATATCTACATTTACAAACCTAAAAGTATTTACGCACCACATAGTCGGAAAAGCGAACGGGCTTGCGTACCCATTTGAGCTTACGCTGCAAGTACGGTTGCATCAGTTCGTGCACCTCCCCATTAGGTACATGGACGCCCAACTCCCGTCCATTTTGGATCTAGTGTTTGCCAAGTCACTAGACTTCGTAGGGGACGTCACTTACAGCTCTTCCTTAGGTGCTAGTGATCATGTTTGTTTATCGTTCAGGTGTACTCTGACCACGCGTCACCAGAGCATTGCTAAGCCATTTCCAAGCATATGGCATGCTAACTATCAGGCAATGCGTATCAATGCTGCTGGGATGCGTTGCGAAATCTCTTTGGTTGATACGGTTCAGGCGGCCTGGGACAAATTTAAATCTTATCTCACGGAAGTGTCTACTCCCTACATCCCGCTTGCGGGGAGAAAGGAGACACGAGCGCGGCCGCCGTGGATAGATACCACTGGCAAGTACCTGCTCCAGAAGCGTTCTAGGTGCTGGAGGACCTACTGTGCGGCTCCATCAATTAGCACCTATGATAGATACCGCGAGGCTAGAAATAGGTGTAAACAACACTTAAGGAAAGCTCGGCTGGTGTACGAAAAGAAATTGGCTGATGGAGCTTCGGAAAATCCGAAGTTCTTCGCTTATGTCAAGAGATGCTGTGGTTCAACTTCGGTAATCCCAACCTTGATGCGGGCCGATGGCACTCGTGCGTATGCGGACTCAGATAAGGCTCGTGTACCTGTGGAAGAGTATGCAGGGGCTTTTGTACTTGAGGCCGCGTTGAACTTGTCCCCAGAGTACCTGAGGGTTCTTATTTAGCTGAGTTTACTGTGGTGGAAACGCAAGTCCTTAAACTGCTGCAAGAACTGAACCCTTCCAAAGCAGCTGGACCGGATTCAATTCACCCAAAGCTTCTGCATGAGTTGGCGGGGGAACTAAGTGGACCGCTGCCGATGGTGTTTCAGAAGTCACTTGACAGCTGTACATTACCTTCCGAATGGAAGGAGGCTGTCATCTGTCCTATCTTCAAAAATGGCGACAGGAGTCTGTCAGCCAATCATAGGCCAGTTAGTCTGACTAGCATCGTGGTCAAACTGCTTGAAAAGCTGGTGAGAGATTCGTTGGAATGTCACCTGAATAGATTTAATCTACTCAGTAGTGCACAACATGGATTCCGGAAGGGGTTTTCGTGTTTGACGAATTTGTTGGTTGCTCGTGAAGCTTGGGCCGAGGCAGTGGACAATGGCCACGTAGTGGATGTGCTTTTCGTAGACTTCTCGAAAGCATTTGATAAGTTACCCCACTTGAGGCTATCACAAAAGCTGAGGTCCCACGGCGTATCTGGCCGCGCCATTCACTGGGTATCTGCGTTCTTGCAGGGAAGAGAGCAGGGTGTACGTGTGGGTCGCAGCTTATCCTTTAGGCAAGCGGTCCTTAGCGGTGTCCCACAGGGCTCGGCCCTTGGACCGATGCTGTTCTCCATCTACGTAAACGATCACCCTGGAGAGCTTGGGGTATCATCCCTATTGTTTGCTGATGACCTTAAGCTATGGAATGTTGTAAGTGTTCCTGGGGTTCTGAGGCCATACAGCATGCACTGGACAGACTCTGGGACTGGTCTACTTTGTGGCTACTGCCCATAAATCAGGCTAAGTGTTCCGTCCTTCGTATAGGAGCAAGTTTCCCGCCTTCGAGCTACGTACTCGGTGGGGTCGAACTCCCCCTTGTCTCCAACCAGGTAGACCTAGG